TATAGCCAATAGGGAGCCTACCATGGAGGGATGGGTGGGTGCTTGTCCAGGCCACGCCCCCCGCTCCCAGTACTGGCGCTGCGCTCCTCCATCCTGCTGGTTCCAACGGTCCAGCTGCGCGCTGTGGCAAGGGCGGGGTGCAGAGCGAAGCGAGGTCATTGGCTGCCTCCGAGGGATCACCGTTGGGCCACAGTCACCCATTGGTTTCTGCCCAGCATTTGCTGGACTCCGTGCGACCGAGACGCCCCCTCCACCGCCCACCTCCGCCTTGAGCCGCTCTGTGTTTCGGTCTCTCCCGGAAGGGCCAGGAGACCAGGTTGGTCTGGAAGGCTTTGCCCATCGTTGGGCGACCCTGTCACTTCTCAGCACCGGCCGGGGATTTTCAGGTTGTTGGTAGCCAGGGATGCTCAGAGCTCAGACCAGCCACGGTGGTTCCGCTGCTTCGTGCTGGGGGATGGGACTGGCTGGACCAAACCGGAGAGCTGTGGCCGCGGTTAGGTCTGGCTGAATCAGTATTTCCAGTGGTCCTTGAAAACCACCACCAAAAACGTGACCAAAGCTCTTGGGTGGGGTTAGAGAGATGCTAACCTGAGAAGCAAGAAGAAGGAGAGGGACAGAGAGACGCGGGGACCTGGACATATGCATGGGTCATACATACGACATGCATGTACGTACACATTTGCATTTTATGCATACAGAAACTGACGGGGGTGTGTGTGCTTGTATGCAAACATACACTTAATTTCAGCACGGACACCCAAAGCAAAGTGTCTAGACACGTCTATGTTAGCAAACATTGACATGTGCACAGGCGTACCCACAGACACCTCCACAAGCCCACACATACACAGGCATGTGTTGTCAGACACGTGTGACCCAGACTTAAAGCACTGCCATCCGTGGACTTTAGTCTGCGCCTTCCTTTGCTGTTAAACCTCACCGGGCAAAACAACGCTGCTGTGTGGGTTTCATGCAAAACACTTTACAGAGACAACAGCAGAGGGAGAGACAATTTAAGAGGTGTAATAGGCAAGGGGGAAAATATCTGTTTCAGCCGCAATTTAAAGTGAGACGCAGCATTGACAAGACAGAAAATACCGCAGGCAGCCCAGCCAGGCTCTCACCTCATAAATCTTGCCTCTTCCCCGAGGCCTACTGCAGATGGGCCACTGAGACTTCTAACCCCAGCCAGGCCATTGCCAGCACACCCACGCCTGACATTTAAATACCCCTGGCATATAAATTTCTCTCTACTGAAAATAAAAGACAAAAGACTGCTGTGGGTAACAGGTGCAGATATTCTGGTTGCTGGAGATGAATAATCCCTCCCAATACACCTAGCTTAAATGTAAATTTCTACTTCAAATGTTTCAGCCTCTTGTGAGCTTGGCTGGCAGGAGGCAGTTCCCTGGAGTTGGCTAGTCAATGAGGTAAGCTTGTGATCCCAAGACACGGTATACTGCTCAGAGGCCTAGCTTGGCTTCCCTCACATCTCCCTCGCCCAAGCTTCTCACTGGATCCCACAGGAAATGGCTGCCGTGTATTTGGAGAACAAGGCAGGGACTTCTAGTTTTAGCTTCTCTACCATTGTTCTGCACTGAGTGGGATGGGGGGAGGGAGTGCTCCCTGGAGGAGGTGGGAAAAAAGTTGTCTGAACAGGGTGCTCACTGGGATGAGACTTCGCAACCGGTCCCTGGCCGTGTCCTGAGAGTCGGGCTAAGTAGAGCCACAGAGGCACTTGAGGCTCACACTGATAGAATGTGGGTGTTTTAAACATAGTCAGCTCTCTGAGGCACACCTCCTCCTCCAGACCTCTAGTCCCTGTACACCCTCGCACACTGTGGCTCTTCTCCCAGCGGCTGGGTCTCTGCACTCCGGCGTGTGCAAAGACCCTCACGGCAAGAACTGGAGTCTGCCTGGCTCTGTGACTTCCCTGAATCTCAACCTCAATGCCGTGCCCTTGAACCCTGTGTCTGTTGAGCGCATCAGTGAATGAATGAGTAAATACCCATTTACAGAAGAGGAAAAGTGAGGCTCAAGGAAGGCCACAAGCTGAACATTTTCTAGGAAATTCTTCATTTACTCCTCAGAATAATCTTACTCGGTGGGTGTTATTAATAGCTTCATTTCACAAAAGACTTGGAGGGATTTGGGATAAGTGAATAAGTCTTTGTCTTAATCAAGGTTCTCCAGGAAAACAGAACCAATAGAAAGATTTCTTCTGAGAGGTTGACTCACGTGAGTGTGGAGGCTTGGGCTGGAGCCCCAGGCAAACCATCGCTAACTCCAGAAGCACTGAGCATAGGAAAAGGGGGGGAGGCAATCATAGGCCTCCATCTGAGCCTGAAGATCCCAGAACTGGAAGCCCCAACATCCCACAGCAGGAGATGGCTATCTCAGCTCATCCTCCCTTGGTATTTTCTGTCTCTGTGCAAGCCCACACTGGGTTAGGGATAGCCCCTGTGTAGCTGAAGCTAGACCTTTACTCAATCCATGTCCTCCCAGACAGTCTCAGGATGGTGTCTTCCCCGCTATCTAAGCATCCCCCAGCCCAGCCAACTGTCACACAGTTACCCATCACAATATCTTTCTCAGTTGAACTGGAAACACAGCCCAACCACATTTCTACAAAGCTGTTCTGTTCACAAACACTCAAACTGGCGGGTAGATATTACACAAATCTGGCTTCTGGCACTAAGATGAGCAGAGTGTGGTCCCTGTTGTTACTTCTTCATCCCGTGAGAAACTATATTGAACACCTACCTACTATATGCCAGGACCAGAGGAGCTGAGGATTCAGCCCTGAGTAAGACACAAAGCTTCCCTTCAAGGGGATTCTTATTTGGAAGGCAATGCAGATGGATCTGACCTGTTACGAAGGAACCAAGTACCTCTACCCTGGGCCATTGCTCCATGTCCATCCTGTCCAGCCGGAGTAAGTCTCTCTGACAGCAGGCTTCAGATGCCTTCTTTTTTTATGTGTATGTGGTAGGGAGTGGTATTCATGTGTATGCAGGTTCATGTGTGTGTACAGGTTTACATGTGTGTGCACTATGTGGTCAAAGGTCCACCGTAGTTTTTGAGACAAAGTCTCTCCCTGGGCCTGGGGCTCACTGAATCAGCTAGGTTTGATGGACAGCAAGTCCCTAGGACCCACTTTTCTCCACTTCCACAGTGCTAGGATAAGCAGCCACCACTCCTGGCATTTTAAATAGATGCTCAGGATCAAACTCAAGCCTCAAGCACTTCACCAAATGAGCATCTTCCTGGCACTCAGATGCCAGGAAGGAAATTGGGGTTCTGCAGTGTGACATGTCCTGAGCCACACAAGGAATAATTTGCAAATGTTACTTTAAGCATAGGCCCATCAAGGGCTGGTGAGATGATGGTGGGAAAAAAAAAGTGCTTGTTGCTGACCCTGAGGAGCAGAGTTTGATTCCTGGGACGTACATAATGGAAGAGGGAACTGACTTTTGCAAGCTGTCCTCTGATCTCCACATACGTGCTATGGCATGTGTGTTCCCATACAACACACATGGGGGTAGGAGGGGGATCTGTTAATGTTTGTAACTGAGAGTGCTGAGGCGCTGTCTATAGGAAAGGATCTTTGCAAAGCATGTTGGAGAAGCCAGGTATGGTGGTGCATGCCTAGACTCCCAGCCTTTGACAAGCTGGCGCAAAAAGATTGTCACAAGTTCAAGGGCAGCCTGGGCTACAGATTAAGACTGTGTCTTAAACAAAACAGCATGCCAGAAAAATTAAATTATTGGGTCATGAAAACCACCTCCAAGAGCCAGCAAGATGGCTCAGAGGACAAGAGCACCTGCTGCCGGGTCTGATGACCTGAGTTAGATCCACATGGTAGAAGAGAATCTATACAAGTGATCCTCTGACCTACACACACACACACACACTCATCTCAAATGTGATCCCTTTTGGTAGGGTTAACACACACACACACACACACACACACACACACACACACACACACACACACGCACACAGACATACACACACACACACACACACACACACACACACACACCAGGTGTGGTGGCGCACACCTTTAATCCAAACATTTGGGAGGCAGAGGCAGGTGGATCTCTGAGTTCAAAGTCAGCCTGGTCTACAAAGCAAGTTCCAGGAGAGCCAAACACACACACACACACACACACACACACACACACACACACACGGGGACAATGAATAGAGTGCAATGTCGGGGGCCAATGTC